GTTTGGCGTTTCCTTCGGCCATTTTTCCGGTACATTTAAAAGCCTGACGAAGGCTGGCTGCTAGTATATCATATATACATAATTTAGTTTTAACCAATTTTGGATTTGCCCGTTAGTATATCTAATTGCACAAGTATATCCTACTGAACTTATTTTAAGATGCTCCCACATGCTTCAAATTGATATATTGAAGCTCTTCTGCAAGAGATTCAACTAAATGGTCTAAATCTTGTGCCTCCATGAAAAAATTAAAGAAGTTCTTGAAGTTCTTTTAACGCGAAAGTAGAGACATGCTTCTCGTGGAGTGCACACGAGCATTTTCCTATTACTTATCTTCCAGATGGCGCCCAAATTGTTCGACAGTTGGTTTTAAATGAGTGAAATAGTATGGACATTTTTCAGTTCTGTGTTTAGAAATATAGAATTAGAAGCAGAAACTAAATTGTAAATTTTATTATCTATTTTCTTGTGTATTTCTTTAAAGGTCTTATACTTTCGATGATGAGTTTGATTTGGTTTATTTGATTCTGGCAAAGCCTCGAGGGATATCTGCCTAAGAGGAGGAATGCCTTCGTGCAGGGAGGACTAAGAAGAACTGGCTTGTATACGCGTTACACATGGGGAAAACCACGAAAATGCCCATGCACACAGCCTATTCGCAGGATTGGAACCTCGGACCCAACTCCTAGTGTTCAGCGATTTTACCGCTCCGCCGCTGGTGGGCTTCCCTTTCGATGATGAGTGAAATTAGGCTGTTTTTCTCATGCGAATGATATGTTTAACAAAATCAAAAGAAATTATATTTTTCCATTACTCATTTAGTTCACATTCTTGATGATTAAATTGGTAAATAAATTAATTGCATTAATTTGATCTTATCTGTAGAATTTAATTACTTAAGATGTGCTGTAAAATCAAAAAGAATTTTTTAAGTTCTTTAGCTTACGTATTACAACACACGATAAACTGAAACCCTTGTAAAAAGCATTCAAAAAAATTAAACACTTTTTTTATTTAAATAATTTTAAATCAAAGAATATTGAATTATTAGATTATTTCATAAAATAATATATATAATTTGCAATACCTAATTAGACATATCCATTATATTAAAAAAATCCTCTTCAAAGATTTTACCCTAAACCTCCAATTTTCGTACATTTTTAAAAAATTTTAGGCTAATATTAAAAATCTGATATATTCCCCCCCTCAAGGATTATTTTATTAGAAAAAGTGCCTTTATTTTATGTTTGGCTTAACACAGTAAATGTGAAATAGCTTAACACGGTAAATTTAAATGTTAAACACCCGTAATAAATAATTCTTCAATAATAATATATGTGGCTTTTTAGTTAGAAATCACTTATTATTATTTATTTTATATCTAACTCTCTGGCAAGAGATTACACCCCCCCTTTCATTATGTCTTTTTTAAGCCCGAAACCACTATTAGTCTCGAAACACGATTTTGCGTTGTTTCACTTTAAGCTTTGCTTCACTTTTCGTTCGAGTATGTTGCCATTCAGCAAAATATAATCTTATCTTTCAAATTTAATCTGTCTGATATTAATCAGTAAGAGAAAAACAGTAACAAGTATCAGTAACAAACTAAGTTATTTAAAAACAATTAGTGTGTGTGTGTGATTATGGCAAAGCCTCGAGGGCTATCTGTCTAAGAGGGGGGATGCCTTCGTGGAGGACTTTCTAAGGGAAACTGGCTCGTATACACGTTACACATGGGGAAAACCACGAAAATGCCCATGCAGCCAGCCCGTTCGCGGGATTCGAACCTCGGACCGAACTACCAGTGTTCAGCGACTTTACCGCTCGGCCGCTGGTGGGCCTAAAAAGGATTAGATATAGTTCTTAAGAATATTATTTTTTCACTTTTTAATCGGATAGATTTAAATAAAAATGCATTCATGATAAACTAACATTAAATAACTAAAATTAACATTTCTATCTAATAAGATAGCAAAAAATTAAATTAAGTCAGTAAATTTAAATAAAACTAATATTTCTAATTAAAAGCATTAAATATATTTATATAATTACGCTACACATTTTTTCCCTTTTCAAATATACAGAAGGTGTACAACGTTTCCATGCTAGCCTAAATATATATTCATCTAGCTTCCTATAAAATATTCCACCCGGACTGTTTCTGTTAATAAGCTTTACTGATAAATAACTGATAAACCATACTAAAACTTAAAACAGGTCTTTTGGGTGACCGTTGAAATCTAAACTCTGTTAGGTTTATTGTTTTTTACGTATTATTATTTTTTTAACCTTAAAGTTTAAATGTATATTAGTTTTTAATTATTTTTACTGGTTGCATAAAATTTAGAAAATTTCAGATAATAGTAGTTATGTAACGAACTTAGCCGAGCGCAAAATGAAAATGCTTTTTAAAGTTTTTCTTCTTGCATTTCTTTACAAATGCTTTTAATCTCTTAATATGCTCAAGGGAGTTGACTTAGATAAACCGAACTAAATTATTTTTGCGTACCCAAGTAAAAATGATTTGGACTTATTATTATTATTATTTAAGATGTGAATACAACAAAATATACCCGTTACAGTTTTGAGTTAAAATAAAGAATAAAAAAATTGGCGGGAAAAGCCCATGTTCTGCGCTTTTAATTGGTGCATTAAGTGGTTAATTGCATTCTTTTTTGCCTAGCCGACCTCTGGCTCAGTGAATAAAATGATTGAGCGCTGGTAATTAATTACCCCTACGTTTGATTATCATTAATAGATTGATTTGATTGCATGGGTATTTTCACGAGTTACTGCGTAAACAGACAGTTTCTAAAAAATAATTCTCAGGAAAGCATCTCGTCAGAGGTAAAAAGCCCGCAATGTGCAGTGCCATATAAATTACCATCTTCCTTGTTATATAGATAAACTATAACTCTGCCCTCAAAACTATTTTAAACTCGCTTATTATATGGCCTACCTGCAACCGAGTGGAAAAGTCACTGAACGCTGGTAGTTCAGTCTGGGGTTCAAATGCCAGCGAACGGGCTGGCTGCATGAGGATTTTCGCAGTTTTCCCCATGTGTAATGTGTATACGAGTCAGTTTCCCTTAAAAAGGACGAATTCCACCGCCATAGGCGCACAGCCCTTGTGTGCTTTGCCGTAATCAAGTAAATCAAACGCTTCCTTGTGTGCTTTACCGTAAACAACTAAAAATGCTAAACTAATTACTAATTTTTAATAATCTGTCCGAAGGCAGATATTTTATAAGAAATAAAGCCTGAAGAAACTTAAAAGTTCGTTCCAAAAATCCCAACTTCTATTCTTTTTTTAATAATTTTAAACATACAAGGCAACTTGTTGACTGTGACGCAGATTATGTTTGCTTTTTGTTTTGATGGTTTTAAATATTTTTAACGTTTATTTATTAAAAAATTTTATAGCAAGCGTAAAAATATCTTTTTCTTATTTGCATCATCAGATTTGCAAAACGAAATACATAGATTAATTGATTTATTATAAATTTTTTCAGCAAATTTTTTTCGAAAATGTTTTTGACAAAGAGGAAACAGAATATTTTGGAGAATGGGAATGCATGACTTTACGAACTTTTTTTTTTTTTTTTTTTTTTTTTTTTTTTTAAGAAGCTGCGGCGACAAAAAACTTAGTTTTCCTAACTTTTAAAATGGAAAATTATATTGCAAAATTAACTATAAAAGATGCTATATATTAATTAAATTATTGTTTAAATACACAATATTTGGCAACAACTTATGACTACGCCCTGACCGTGTTCAGAGTGAATTTCTGAAGTACTAAAGAACTAACGAATGATTCTTCAGTCGCGAGATAGAAAATATTCTGCATGTTCCCAAGTCCTAATTTGTACTCAATAGCAAAGAGGACATATACCCTGCTCCTCCCCTTTGAGGAGGGTGTGGGGGGTTCTTTAAATCTTTCTACAATACTTAAAATATAAAAAAAATTAAAGAATTTCAGTCTTAAATTTTAAAAACATAACATTTCTATAGTTTTAATATAATGGAAAGTTTTTATAGAACTTTCTCCAAAGACCGGACTCTGAATCATTAGTTTATACTTTAACGAGCGACTGATACCGTTTAGCCTGGATTTGTAAATTAACACTAACTTGAACAGCCAATCTTTATTACTGATCACCACATTTGAAACTTGGGATGGTACATGAATATGAGGGCCTTTTGATTATATTAGGGAGGTTCATACACATGATTGTATCAAATTGATAAACAGTTGCATCATTTTGGTCATATAACTGTAATTAATGAATTAAAATTTGCAGCAAACTCAGTAAAAATTCTTTAACGCTGTCCTCTTTATTCATACCAGGCGCTTCAAGTAGAAATATAAGTTTAAAATAAAAATAGCAATGATAAAAAGGCCCTGGTTTCAAATGAAAAAAAACCCAGTAAATTAATAGAAAAAAAAAAAAAAAAATCCAGGAAGTATTTTTCTAAAATTTGCACCACCCCGGGCCTCTGATTTTGTTAATCGGTCCAACATGCGCCATGTGTGTTTAGTTTTTTTTTTTTTTTTTTTCAAAAAGTCAGTATCATTATAATTTCTTTGGAGTTTTCTTTGCTAAGCAGCTGTCATTTGCTGTTTCTCAGGACCATGAGGTTTAAAGTTTCACTTTGTGATCATTCCCTTTCCTCTCCCCATCCAAAATAGTCCTCGTTCCGCTGGGGGATGCTTGGGAGGTGCTACAACCCGTGCTTCGCTTCCATTGATCAAGAGTACTCCGACAGACCACGCCAATGGCAGCGCGTCTCTCTCCGCTATCTCTTATTGGTTCGTTTGAGTCAAGTGGACTCCTCCTCCTTTTCCGAACACCCTCGGCCTCATCGTCTTTTTATTGCCCGTTCGCTTTTCATTCTGCTACCTCATATTCATTCGTCATCTCCGGTCGCCGTCACCTTCTTCATCTTTCTATCCTCTCGGCCAAAAATTATCACGGACTCTAAAACGGATCCGTCATTACAGATTTGCGTGGTACTTGTAAATTCCTCCAGCGGTGTTGGAGCGGAAGCTGGACGAAGCGAGACAACAATACTGCGCATGCGCTCTTTCTGAACGTCAACGACTCGCCAAGAGCCCATTGGTCGTGCCGGCGCGTTGTTCGCCGAACCCCTCCATGGCTATCGTATCACGCACTCACACATATGAGTAGGTCAGCCCAGCGCAAGTAGAAGCCGGGCACCGACTCGTTGGTGTCAGTCACTTGCGTCGAGCGGAATTGCTTGCTTCAAGAGGACAGGACTTGGAGACACTAGAGAGGGTCCAGAAGAGAGGGAAACTCTCAGAGAAAAATAAAAAACATCATCTCCAGTGACCCTGGTCAGGGCACTCGCGAGGGGCCTAGCTCTGGGGTTGTGAAGCAATGTCCCTGAGTCCCAAACATTCTACCCCGTTTTCCGTGACCGATATCTTAAGCCCACTCGACGAGACTTGTTACAAGAAGGTCGTCGCAGCCGCAGCAGCCGCGATTGAGAATTCAGGACTTGGTTCTGCTGCCTACAGGAGCCCCCAGTCGCAAGCAGCCATGAACGTACCCGTCACCAACCCATACATGCATATGTCCCAGCTCTCCCACCCCAACACCTTCCCTACCCAGTACTGCAACGGGACGGACATCTCGGCGCACTACGGAGATGTCAGGCAGTCTGCACCAGGATGGTACAGTACCACACAAGATACGAGATTTGCCTGTAAGTACTGCATTCATTATTAATAATTGCTTTCATTTCTTATCAGTTATTAGCCATTTTAAAAAAGCTTATGAAAAATCTTAGCTAAATATTTTGAGCTTTACGTGTTTATTAATATTTGAGAGTTTTATTTGTGTCTCCGACGGGGCATTGTTTAATGAGAATATACTGTCAACTCATAGAAGGATTTACAGGGTTGCTGATTAACCAGGCTTTGTCGAAAAAAAATATTTAGCTTTTTTATTGAGGAGTGATGACCATTCGACGTAAAACAAAACTGCCTATGGAACATACACAAAAGGAAAAGGAAATAAATTTATAGCAGCGATGACAGCAGATAATGCCACAGTATTTTTTTTGTCCACAAGCCGGATTTAGACTTGACAAGGCTGTTTGAGATATGGGGTCTTTTATAAGTCTGTTATACTATATTTTAATTTTTTTAGAGGTGGGGGGTTTAAGCTAATAGCTTGTGTAGCTTATACGTAAATCTTGCCATTGTTTGACCGCAACAGTAGGTAATTTAATTGCATGCAGTCCGGAATGTGACAGACTGGCTAAATCATCCGGTTAAAAAGTCCAAGTTCTCTCGTAAATTTTGTTCTCGAATGCTACCCATATTTTTAATAATGTTTGTTCTTCCGCCATTTGCAAAATGTTATTTTTTTTGTTTTGATTAATAATTTAATTTATGCAAGCAAAGGAATTTATTCCCCTTGTTAAACCGGTTGGAAATACAAGTAAATTGTTAACAGCACTTTTCAGCCAATTATAATGTGGATTATTTTTCTTATTGTGGAGAATTATTTGTGTGTATATTATTTTTTTTAATAACTAACCGTGGACTGATCGTGATTTAGAGTTAATTCTAGATGTCTTCCTCAGTTAGATATTAAATCGGTAGCTGACTTTAATGAAAAGCCGTCTCGTTAACCAAGATCCTATCAGGTAGCAGATTCTAGTTTAATGTTAATTTTCTCCTGGAGTAATGTAAGATAGGGTTATTGTTTGATTTTACTAGGATACTGAATGCATTTTTAAGATTCTTATAGCTCGGTACAGAATGAAATAAGATTTTCCGTGTAACCCGTCTTATTCAATCAATACAATTTTCTGTTTCCTTGAAACATTAATTAATCTGGACATAACAAAAAAATTTCCGATTTATTTTATTTATGCTAAACGGTATTTTTGTTGTATTGCCAACAATGTGCATATTCACTTTCTGAACCAACTTCTTTGTTATCTTGTTCATTTTGATACATCTTAATACAAATAATATTATTCTCTCTCTCTTTTTTGAAATGTATTTAAAAAATTTTTTATGTGATATTAATTGTTTCCAAGCTATCTTCTAATCTTTTTAATTAATTTCTGAATACCCCGCTTTGTATAACTATTGTTTTTCGTGTTGATATGCTCAACTTGCGCAACTTAATTTAATATAAAGGTATCATTAAAGCAGGCAATTGGACCCACCAGCGGCCGAGCGGTAAAGTCCCTAAACACTGGTAGTTCGGTCCGAGGTTCGAATCCCGCGAACGGGCTGGCTGCATGGGCGCTTTCGTGGTTTTCCCCATGTGTAACGTGTATACGAGCCAGTTTCCTTAGAAAGTCCTCCACGAAGGCATCCCTCCCCTTAGGCAGATAGCCATAGTGTGCTTTGCCATAATTAAATACCAACTAAAGCAGGCAATTAAAAAAAGAAGAAGAATTTTTGAAGAAGATAAATTTAGAATGCGACCAAAATTGTTCTGTAAGGTATACAGTGTGATCTACATGCGTAATCTTTAATGACCTTTTTGATAGATACCTCAGGCTTCATACTATATTTGACGACATTTCTAAATTTTCAAAATGAGTTAAATAACATTAATTTGTCTTAAAATGTGAAAATAATCAACGTTGTCTTCTATATTCGTTAAAAACACGTAAGCTATTCACAAATTAATTAAATTTATACGTAGAACTATGTGCAGTACACAGCATCATTAAATTTTCATGATAATTTTAATATTTTCGAATGGATAAAAAATGCAACATTTTAACTGTTGAAAAATATCATCGGGACCTGCTTTATAATTCTGGTTTCTTGCCAAAAGTTATTACGGAGTCTGACTAAAACGGTCAGTGTTATGTTCAGACAACTGGAATTTAAACAGATAATAGATCAAAGACAGTATGCTATTACTCAGAAAGCATGTCATTGAATGAAACTCTATAATGCTTTTTATATTCATTAACACCCGAAGCTCTTCGATATTTTAACATTCTTTTATATTTATGCTTTTTTCCCCCTTTCTTTCTCTCTCTCTTTTTTTAATTGAATTTTTTTTCTGCAATACCAAGACCAAATATTAAATTCTTTGAATAACTCTTCAGAAATTTTGAATTGGAAATTCATTTACCACTATTTACATAAGCTGTTGAATTTCAATGTGAGAAGTAATTTTAAATTCTGAAGAACGAACTATTTTAAAGTTAAGTTACAAAATCTGTTGCTATTTGGTGATGGTTTGTCCTTTCTCATCTCAGCTGTTCTACACTCATTTAACTCTACTTTTTAAGCGAAAAAACTACAACAAATAGGTTGAAAAGTTATGTTTATTTATAAAAATTGCGGATACTTTAAAATGCACTATTCTGTTTATTTAGTCTTGTTCTGGATATTTCTTGCATAACAATTCACTGACCTAAAGTTTTTGCAAATTTTTGTTTGCTCTGTGGAAATTGTGATTTTAAAGATAAGATATTTTATCCAATTGATTTCTTGCAGTACTAACAGACATTAAATCAATTTCTTTAACACTTTTTTTTTTTTTTTTTTTCATTAGGATAATTTTGTTTCCTAGCAAAATAAAAATTTTTCGTAGCTTCAGATGCAAAAAATACTTGTTATAAATCCTGTGTATAAGCGATCCAATGAATGAAAAAAAAAAAAAAAAAAAAAAAAAGAAAGAAAATCTACAGTGAATAATTAAGTCTCTTATTCGGAAAGTGCAAAAAGCATTAATTTATGGTAGAATAATATTATAACAGTTTTTACCTTACCATTTTGCATTGCTAAATTCAACGTCTGGTTTCAAATATATGATTTTATGTTGTGCAGTTGGAAGTGGGGACTGATTCTTAAATTAATAGGGCTGTGTTAACTGTCTAACTTCAGATTGTTTCAGATATTAAACTGGAATCTCAATGTGATAAGATCATCAATTTTTAGAGATCTTTTATATGATAAAAGAAAATAGCAAGTTCTTAGAATTTTGAAATTAAAAAAAAAAAAAAAAAAATATTGTAGCGAATGTTCGGAAATGTACTCTTTTTTTTTTTTTTTTTTTTTTTTTTTAAATTTATTTAAACAACTGCAGTATTCTGATATTTGAAAAACTGCTTGAAGCTCAGAATACCGCAGACTCTAAAACTTCAAATCAGAGCAGAAAAGAATTATTTTATTCGATTTTTTAAGAGACAATAATTGTTTTTACTTATGCCTCGTTTTAAATATATGATTTTATATTGTCCATAAGGAACTGGGGACTGATTCTTAAATTATTAGGGCTGGTTTAACTGTCTAACTCAAAATTATTTCAGATATTAAACTGGAATATCAATGTGATCAGATCACCAATTTTTAGTGATTTTTTTTTAAAAATTTGAATTTTTTATATGATAACTAGCAGCTACGCTGCCAGCCTTCGTCTGGCTTTTAAATGTACCGTAAAAATGCCTGAAGGGAACACCAAACGTTAAATTTAAAAACTGTGCAGAATTTTACTCTGCAAAGCAACTTTATCAAAAAAAAATTAATAAAAATGTATTATATATATAAAAAATGACAATGAAATATACCAGTCTCTTAAAAACAGTGACATAAGAAATACGATGAAAAATTGTTGCCAAACTCATATTTCTAAAAGAATGAAACTATTCAAAATGATGCGATTTCATCAAAAATCTATCAACAACAATAAGAAAGGAAAATTGTTGCCAAAATCACATTTTTTAAAGATGTGAGCTGTGAGAAGTGTACTCAAAAGCTTCATTTAAACATTTTTTTAAAAATATTATCATTTTTCCAAAATTCTTTTTGTAAAAGCAGTCGCAAGGATGAAAGTTTAACGTGTCCAAAAATCAAAGAAAAATAAACTGTACATTTTTAAAATTAAACTTTTTTAAAATAAATCCCGTTGAAAAGATGTTAAGCTCACTTTGTTAAATAAATTCGTATTTAATCGATTTATTGAAACACGAAATTTATTTTAAGTTCGTAAAATAGTTAAGTGCCAACGTTTCATGACGATGTGAAAATGGAGTGTGTAGAGTAACATCTCGCTTAGCCCATCCTATAGCCCATTATGTCTCAAAATGACGCGATTTCGTCACAGAACATAAAAATAAAAAATATTCGAATTCGAATTTTGAAAAAATCGCTTCGAGGTGCACTGGCTCTTGTCTAGATGCATCTATGTACCAAATTTCGTAGCCGTGGGTCTATTAGCTTACGCGCAGCGCGAACGAAAGACACACACACAGACAAACTCTTTATTTTATTATATGTAGAGAACATAGAAAATAACAAGGTCTTAAAATTTTAAAATTAAAAAAATATATATATTTCACTGTAAACTCTTTCTAGTAGCAATAGGCCGTAAAATAAAGTTCTCACATCTACTTTTTATTTTTATTTATTTATTTAATTAATTAAACAATTTCAGTATCCTGATATTTGAAAAACTGTTTGAAGCTCAATATTGTAGATTCAAATCAGAACAGAACAGAATCATTTTATTCGACTTTTTAAGACATAATAATTGTTTTTACATATACGCTAAGTACATTTTTATGTATGCACTAATAATATGAAGGGGTGTGATTCATATCAAAAGCTCTTGCTTTAACTGCAAGCTCCTCGTAAGGAATATAACTAATTAATACATGTAACTGAAAAAAAAAAAAAAAAAAAAAAAGGTGGGAAACACCAGTGGGCACATAATTATCTA